AGAAAACTTCAAGTTGTTGTTGACTTCTAGGCTTGAATCTTCAACTTGCTTTCGGTGTTAGGTTGGTACAAGTGATCGTCAGGAAGAGTTTTTTGATTACTATTTTTGTGTATATCATTTATTTAAATTTTAATATTTGTTGTTTTTTAATAATAATCTCACTTAGTACTCTTCTTTATAAATCTAACGAATTAATCGAAATACTTTTAACCTTAAACCAAATTTTAACATTTATAACAACAAATATTAAACTTATAATTTTAGAACTTGTTCGCTTGTTGGATAATTAAAACTGACGACAAAAAAAAAACAACTACCAACCAAAAAAACTAAATCAAAAACAACAAAAATAGCGACCAAAATAATACCTCAAAAAAAAACTATAAAAAAACAAAAAAAAAAAGTACAAACTAATTTTGGATCTTGTTATCGTAAAAACTTATTATAAGTAAAAAAAGAAAACTATGTGCAATTGAAACATGCATTACTGGTGATGAAACTGGTTACAATGCATGCCAAGTTAGAAGACCACCTGGAACAAAAGTTGATAAAATAAATTTCAGTCCAACTTTTCACAATGATCAATTATTTTATAATGATACACTATACAAATGTATATGGTTCTGGAAATTATTTCAGCAAGAAAGACCTAAATTTAACAAATTAATTTTATCAGATATTGCTATTCATTTAGTTTTTACATCAATTCATACTGGTCAAATTAGAAATTTAATTGGAATTGCACCATTTGCAGGAATTGGTCAAAATAATTAAAATATAGATGTTAATGAACTTAATGCTCAACAATTAATGAATCATTATAAAATTCCTGTTGCTGGAGGTGATACTATGATGACTCCCCTACTTTCAAAAATGGGATTAAATTTTTATCTTGTTAGAATTTGTGATAAAGATTTAGCAAAAAAAATACAAGATGATGTAACACCAGCAGACATTCTCAAAAATTTAGAAAAATTAGATAATCCAGAATTAAAAGATAATTTCGATATTTTAGCAACATACTATGGTGAAATTTCTTGTGATAATACTGGTTGTTTATTAAAAGATTAGAATTTTTATATGTGTTATCAATTCGATAAAGATGAACAAAATGTGTGCATGCTTCCTGAAGAAGATGAAATAAATACAAATATATTTGATATAGCAAATTTTGCATTAATCATGATAGTCGATTATATGCAAGGTTTTTTTAAAATGAGATGACTTCGAAATAAAATTCCACCACCAAATCCACAATGACCAAATGAACAAGATCCTAGATATATTACAGATCTGAATAGTTATTTCTTAGGCCAACAATTTTTATTTAATGCAGGTCAAACAGGTTTACCAGTATATTTTAGTGATTGAGAAATTGAAATAGCTTACAGATATAATGCTGATATTAAAAATTCATTAGAATTAGCAACATTAATTGTAGCATAACTTCAACAACAACAACAAGAACAAAATGGTAGACAAGAAATGGAAGGGGTAGAGAATAGTGAACAAGAAGATGCAGATATTTAATTTTAAAAATAATATAAATATTAGAAGTTTTCTTGTTTTTATTTTAAATTTTATATTTTTATTCATAATGTCTTGTATATACAAATATAATAATAAATTTGAATATTGTTGTTATCATTATCCTGATTCGCTTAATAAAAAACAAAATAATGTTGATGAAACACATATTACTTTTGTTATAGCTCTTGAACAAGCATTAATATAATATTATTCAACAACTCAACAACAAGCAAATCAACAACAACAAGAACAAGATCAACAAAATAAAGATGAGAAAATGCTACCACCACCTCAAGCAAAACAACCTGAACAAACTCTAGCTTCAGATTTATTTAATCAATTAAAAAAAGAAATTGAAGAAACACAAAGATCTAATACTATTAAATTAATCAATAATGGTAATTTAGACAATAAAATTAAAAATACAAAATTATCATCTAATCAAACTGAAGAATTACAAAAATTACGATTATCAAAATTGGATAAATTATGTCTTAAACAATACAGTTATTATATTGATTTAATGAATAACACAGAAGATATTACAATATTGAATAATTTACACAATACTATTTTCAATGATGATAAAGTTTTAACAGCGATGCAAATATCAAATATATTAAAAAATATAAATGATAAAATCTTTAGAATTAATAAAAAAAAAGAATACAATTCAATCAAAAATGGAATAATTAAAAAAAAAGATTCAATATGATTAGAAGTTGATTAGAGAGATACTATTGATAATGCCAAATATCTTAATAATAATCAAAAAACTGAATTATATAGACTTCGAAACAGTCAAAAATGGGAAATTCAAGGATCAAAAAAATTTGAACAATATAAATCAGAAATTGAAAATGAAGCAATTATTTCTAATTTACTTGATAGAAAATCATATGATATTTTAATATCAAATGATAGTTTGTTAACAGAACAACAAAAAAATCAACTTTATACATTAAGAAAACAAAAAATTCAAATCTTAACAAATAGTTTATTTGATGAACTTAAAGATAATATAAAAAATGAATGTGTTTTGAGTAAATTAGAAGATAAAGGATACTATGATAATAGAATTAATGAAATTCGTGAATAATTCTTAACTGATAGAAAAACAAAAGATTTACATATTCTTAGAAGATAGAAATTAGATAAGATTCAAAGTAAAACAGAAGATGAATTATATGATGTTAATTCAGAATTAATCGATACCATTCAAGATTTAAATGAACTTGGTGATAATTCAGATCTTGCAAATGATATATTGAAATTAAACCAAACTTTACTTACTGGAGATAGAAATATAAGTGATTTGATTACTAAAAGAAAACAAAATTATAATAA